TGTATTTCCTAGCTAAAGGTCCATGTATTGGTTAGCTTTCCTGTTGCTAAGACACAATACTCAGCACTCAGTTTAAAGGAGGAAAGGCTTAACTTAGCTGTAGGCTTCAGGATATTTTTACTTGGATGCAGGTTAGCATGCCTCAAGGTGGAACTTCATGGTGTGGCAGGACAAAGCTGCTTAATTCTTGGCCACCAAGAAGTAGAACAGAGGAACGGGTAAAGGACCATACATAGTGACCAAGGCCAACCCCATATATATGTTTTGTTTTTAGGCAGGGTCTTGCTGCTGATGTACTTTATTTTTCTTTTCTTTCTTTCTTTTTTTTTTTTTTGGTACCGGGGGTTGAATTTAGGACCTTGCACTTGCAAGGCAGGCAGCAGCATCACTGAGCTCTATCCGCAGCACTTGCTTATGTACTTTAGACTCTTCTTGAACTCACTGTTTAGTTCAGGCTGCCCTCAAACTTGTGATGATCCTCCTGCCTCAGTCTCCCAAATGTTGGGATTACAAGTGTATGCCGCCATACCTGATTTCATGTTGTAAATATTTTATGACACGTGAAAATCTTATAACATCTGGTTGTATCCCTCATATGATAGTTATACAATATACCTTTTTATGTTTGATTGTGACTGCCCAACCTCTTAGGTTCCTTCTTACAAAAGCTTGTGGGTTAGTAAGCACCTAGAGTCATTCAGTGGCTCTTTCCCCTAATGGTAAGAACTTTTCTCATTGTTTGCAGTTTGTTTTTTGGGGGGTGGGTGGGTATGGGGATCCTTGTGCTTGAGAGGCAGTTAGTTTGCAGTTTTAAGGGGCTGAATAGACAATACTTCCTTTTTTTTTTTGGTACCGGGGATTGAACTCTTGTCCTTGTGCTTGCAAGGCAGGTGCTGGAAACACTAAGCTAAATCCCTGGCCCTATAATACCTCTTGTATGCCCTGCAAGCTCAGCCACTTGGGGTGGGGGGGAGTCAGACAATTAGAGATCCAAGAAACTTAATTTTACCAGTGAGAAATGCCATGTTGGAAGTTGTTGTCTATGTATACTTTGAATACTGGGTTTCCTGTAGTCTCCTCTGTCCTCCAAATTTTGACTTTGAAACTCACTGAAGGATTATGTCTGCAGAGCTTGTCGCCTGGATCATTGCCTTTTTTATTACTGTACCATTCATTCTTTCTTCATAGTTCCTTCTGGCTTTTAGATGGCATACCGTATGAAAAGAGTTTAGTCCAGTTTAACTTTATACAGCCTTATGCGATCTACCCTGGGGAATGGCTATTTGTCCAAAACTCTAAGGGATTCATTCCTAGCAGTAGAAGATAGGTGCAGGACTCTGCAATCTAATTAGCTGGTGCACCATTGGGAAGGTCTCTTACCTATCTGGAAATAATAATTCATCTTACTAAAAGAGATAGCTGGTAAATGCAATAAGAGTTGTTTTAAATTCATTCCCACTAATTTGTTATTGGTTGATTTCTTTCTTTCTTTCTTTTTTTTTTTTTTTTGTACTGGGGATCGAACTGAGGACCTTGTGCTTGCAGGGTAGGCTCAGTGCCACTGAGCTAGATCCCTGGTCCTTGGGTTGATCTCTTGATAGCAACCATTCTTTCTGGAGTGAGATGGAATCTCAGTGTCTTCATTTGTTGAACATTTTTTTCATATCTGCTGTTTCAACTTCATCTGAGGAGTGTATTCATTTCAGATGCCCATTTTTGGATTGGGTCTTTAAATTTGGGGGAGGGTCTGACTTTTTTGAATTCTTTGTATATTCTAGATAGTAGTCCTTTGAATATCTGGTAAAAATTTTTTTCACATGTTGTGGGTTATCTCTTTGCCCTGTTGGTGGTTTCTCTTGCTGCGCAGAAGCTTTTTAGTAACATAAGGTCTCAGTTGTTGATTCTTTGCAGTATTTCCCATGCAGTGTGAGTTTTGTTCATGAAGTCTGCCTATTCCTGTATCCTCAAACCTTCTATTTTGTCTTCAGCAGATGTAGTGTTTCTGTCTTACTATTTAGATCTTTGATCCATTTCATTTTTAGGTTAGTGTGTGGTGAAAGATAACATGTCTAGTTTAAATCTTCAGCATGTGGAAAGCCAGTTTTTCCAGCACTATTTATTAAATAGTCTGTCTTTCTTCCAGTGAAGGTATTTGGCTCCTTTGTCAAAGATAAAGTAGCTGAGTATTATGTCTAGAGTTGTTTCTACATCTTGTAATCTGTTCCATCGATCCTCGGGTCTTCTTTTGCCAGTACCATTCTGCTTTTGTTTGTTTGTTTGTTTGTTTTTGGTACCAGGGATTGAACTCACGACCTTGCTCTTGCAAAGCAGGTGAAGTGCCCTGTACCATGCTGTTTTTATCACTAGCAGCTTTGTAGTATTATTTCCGGTCAGGGCTTGTTAGCTTTGTTGCCTAAAACTGCCTTTGCTATCCTTCTGTTTCTTCTGGTTCCAAATGAGTTTTAAGATTGTTTTTTTCTAATTCTGTGAGATATGCTGTTTGAATTTTGATTGAGATTGCATTAAATCTGTATCAACAATTTTGGAAGTATGGCCATTTTGACAATATTGGTTCTTCCTCTCCAAGAACACCCTTGTTAACACTCTTTTTATTTTCTTATGCCTTCTTTGATCCCCTTTTTCAGAGAACTGTAGTTTTCAATGTAATGGTCTTTTACTTCCTTTGTTAGATTGATTTCTAGGTGTTTCATTTTGGGGGGATGCTATTGTGAAAGGTATTGTTTCCCTAATATGTCTCTCAGTGAGTTTGTTATTAGTGTACAGGAATGCTATTGATTTTTGGGTGTTGATTTTGTATTCAGCTATGCTACTGAATTTGGTCATCAAATCTAGAAGTTTTGGTGCAGTTTTTGGGGTTTTCTAAGTAGAGTATCATGTCATCCACAAATAATGATCATTTAGGGCCAGGGATTTAGCTCAGTGGTTCTGCCACCTGCCTCGAAAGTGCAAGGACCTGAGTTCGGTCCCCGGTACAAAAAAAAAAAAAAAAAAAAAAAAAAAAAAAAAATCAAACAAAAGTAATGATCATTTAACTTTTCTTTCTTTTCCTTATTCCTTTTATTTCTTTCTCTTGTCTAATTTCTCAGTTAATGTTTCCAGAACTATATTGAACCAGAGTGGTGACAGTGGACATCCTTGTCTTTTTTCCTGGTTTTAGAGGGAAAGCTTTCATTTTTTGTCCATTTAGTATGATGTTGCCTGTTGGTTTATTATAGATGGCTTTTATCAAATTGAGATTAAGACCATCTATCCCAATTTTTTGTAGTGTTTTAAAAAATTATAAATGACGTTGGACTTTGTTAGACGCTTTTTCTCAATCTATTGAGAGGACCATGTGTTTTTTTGTTCTTGGCTCTGTTAATATAGTGTATTACATTTATTGATTTGAGTATGTTGAACCATCCCTGCATCCTTGGATGAGTCCAACTTGGTCATGGTGTATAACCTTCTTGATGATTTGCTGCATTCTATTTGCCAGGATCTAATTGAGGATTTTTGCATCTGTGTCCGTTATGTCTGTAGTTCTCTGTTTTGGTTGGATCCTTCTCTGTTTTTGGTATCAGGGTAATGCTTGCTTCCAGGAATGAATTTGGGAGTATTGCTTCTCTTTCAGTTTCATTAAAGAGCTTGAGAAGTAGCGGCATTAGGTCTTCTCTAAATTTCTTGTAGAATTCAGCAGTGAGCCCATCAGGACCTGGGCTCTTCCTTGTTGGTAGGTTTTTAATTACCTCTTCAATTTCATTGGTTGATACTCGGTTATTTAGAATTTTAATATCTTCTTGAATTGGTTTTGGTAATTCATACGTGTCTAGGAATCTATTTCTTCTGTATTTTCCATCATGCTAGAGTACAAGTTCTCAAAGTAGATATTGATGATCATCTGGATTTCTGCAGGATTCTGTTGTGATTTCACCCTTGTCATTCCTAGTTGCATGGATTGAGGTTTTTTTTTTGGGGGGGTAAGGTTGGCTAAGGGTTTGTCAGTTAATCTTTCAAAGAACCAACTTTTTCTATCATTGTTTCTTGATATTATTTTCTTAGTCTCCAGTAATTTCTGCTCTGATTTTTATAATTTCCCTCCTCATATGAGCCTTGGACTTGACTTGCTTTTCTTTTTCTAGAATCTTGAGGTTCAACATTAGGTTGTTTATTTGAGCCCACTCTTTCTCTGATACGAGTATTAACTGCTATAAATTTGCTCTGTAGGACTGGAGAGCTGGGAATCTTAAGCTGATAGGTGGCAGAGTTCTTGGCTTTATAATTTGGATAGTCTGTTATTTATTATGAAAGAGTTCACTGGTGGGATACGTGGTTGACCATTGCCCCTAGCCTCCTAGATGTCCATCAGCTTCCTTTGTCTGTTCTTTGACCTTGGATTTGTCCAAGTTCTGAGTAACAGTAAAGGATGAAATTGGTTTTCAAAGAGAGTATCTTCTCCCCCCACACCCCTGGTACAGGGGAATCAAACTCAGGAATTTGTGCTTGTGGGGTAGGCACAGACCATTGACCTAAATCCCTGGCCCAAAAGAGGATATCTTTTGCCAAGAAAGGTGAGAGGAGTGCTAAATAACATTCTGTTCAAGGACCCATATGTGTATATTTCTGGTATATTCTTCCAAAATTAACCGTGTGTTTTTATCTTAATAGTATATATGAATAAATGTTCTATGTCTTGAGGCCAGTTCTGAGGTTACTAGTTTCCTGGAGCTGGAGATCTGAAAGAGTCTCACACACAGCTTAGAAAGTATGAATTGTGTGATTTTCTAAACATCAGTCCTTCAGTTATTTGTTAATCTGTCAGTAGACGATATTTGGTGAAAAGACTAAAAGTTGCTGAGAATCCTAGATTAATAATCTATATTAATCGTATTCAGTGTTTTAATGAAAAATAAAGTCACCAAAAATGACAAAAATTTTATTTTTAGCTCTTAATTTAAGGTGGTAAATTAGTTATCTTTTTTGCTTCTTTTAATAGGGCTACACATCTTTTTGGAATGACTGTATATCATCTGGATTACGTGGCTGTATGTTAATTGAATTAGCATTGAGAGGAAGGTTACAACTAGAGGCTTGTGGAATGAGACGTAAAAGTCTTTTGACAAGAAAGGTAAGAGGATTGCTGAACAACACTTTTAAAAAAGCGTTTGTACTACTAAAAATGAATGTTCCTACTACCAGCTTTCAGAATTAAAGTGATTTTAAAAGTGTCTTTATTAGATTATATTTGCATATTCTTTTGCATTCTTGGTTTCCTGGTTTTTCATATATAGTGAATAAGTAATTCGTTGTTAGGATCACTGACCACTGCATCTTATTCAGAAAGTCACTCAACTACATTTGCTGCTTCTGAGATCTGTACTTTTTGAAAGAGTTCTCTGAAGCTTTAAAAACTTTAAAAGAGCTTTTGTGCAAATTAACTATGCTGTTGGTCTTTTTGGCAGACTGTGGGTACTTTTCGTATCCATCTTCTCTGCTGTGAGGATCTGGATAGATACTTTGGTGAACTATAGGTGGTAATCGGTTAGTTCTTAGATTTTTTTTCAACACAACCTCAACCTCACATACTCAAGTCTGTGTCTCACTGGGCATAGTGGTGCACTTCTGTAATTTCAGCCCTTGGGAGGAAGAAGTGGGAGAATCTCTGAGTTTGAGGCCTGCCTGGGATAGATAGGGTCTCACTCTCTAGGCTGCTCTTGAAGAACTATCTCTCTGTTTCGCCACCAGTCTATTGTGTTTCTTTATAAGTGTAGTGTTTCAAAACTATTTTTTCTTTAATACAGTGTTTTTTGTTTTTGTGTTTATTTTTGGTTTTTTTGGTTTTTTGAGACAGAGTCTCACTATATGTAGTTGAGACTGATCTGAAACTCATTCTGTAGCCCAGGCTGGTTTTGAACTCACAGCAAATCCTCCTGCCTCAGCTTCCTCAGTGCTTGGATTACAGCCACCATGCCCGGCTTTAATGCAGTGTTTTAATCCAAAACTTTTGATCAGAAGTGAGCATTTTTTGGCTGACATGCTGTAGACAATAATTTTTAGGAGAAAAAGACGCTAATGTGTTCATGAAAGTTAGATGCAAAAAGTGAACATTACTAGACTGGGATGTACCTTGTGGTAGAGCACTTGTCCAGCATGTGCTAGGCTCTGGGTTTGATCCCTAGCTCTGAAAAACAAAACAACAAAGGAGGTGTTATATTAGAAAATATTTTACATGGGACTAGAGATTTTAAAATTTAGTCATTCCAAGTCAAGTCACATGAGTTGGCATGAGGTAGTTTTAAAAAATTCACTACTTTGTATTTGTTTACTGCATAAAGGAAAATACAAATTTTATTTCTTGTTAGCTGTAATTAATGGAGGAAAACACTCTGAGAAAGCTGTCATTATAGCTACAAGTGAAATACTGTATGTGGATAGATTAATGCATATTGTAGTAATTCAAGCAAATTTGCATTCATGTTAGTGTTCACCTAAAGTGGAAAAAAAATTAGGTGAAAAGATTGTGATACTGGTTCTTTTTAGAACCAGTTTTGTGTTGTTTTTGAAGAACAGTATCAATGGGTTGATTGTTCTTTTCATTTATTCACCCATACATTCAGTGCTTAAGTGTTCTGTGTACTGTGCTAGACCTTGGGGCACAGTGGTGAACAAGAGAGACTTGTTCCCTGCCGTCATAGACTTACTATTTCAGTCTACTAGTTTGAGTGGTTTAGTTCGTTAATTTCTTTTTTTTTGGCGGGGGGGATAGGGTCTTGCTCTGCAGTCTAGGCTAGCTTTGAACGCACTGTGCAGCCCAGGCTGGCTTCAAATTCAGAGCAGTCCCTACTAATCTCAGCATCCCAAGGGCTGAGATTACAGGCATGTTCCACCATTCTCCCACTGCCATTCTTGATATATCAATTCAATTTACTTTCTGTTAGAATATGTGAGTATTTGACTTCTTATATACTACTTCCCCTAATCCCCTCACCCTTGCTGATTTAGGTATGTCAGTGAGTATATTATTATTTTGTTGATACTGTTTTCTGTGGAGTCATATTTTCTAATATTTTCCTTCCTTGAAGTTTTCTGTGTAAGCATCCTTTTTTTATAAATGCTCCACCAGAGAAAGATGATGCTTACTAATTTTCAAGTGTTCAGATACATCAACATTCTGGACTGGTTATCCAATTCAGTGGCACACAGCTGTCATCTTGGGACATTGAGTCTCATTTGTATTGCATTCAACCTGTTTACTGGATCTTATTTCCTTCCACCTTTTGGGGAGGAAACTGTTGGAGACTCTGTGCCTGAAAACACATTTATTGTACTCAGTTTTATTTAGAACATTTAGATTTATTTTCTTTAAGAATTTTGAAGGTGTTTCTCCATTATCTGGGAATGCTGTTTGAGCCTGCTGTCCTTCTGCTTTTTATTCCTCACGTAATATTTTTTTATTCTCTAGAAACATTTGGGATCTTCCATTACTCCTGGTGTCCTGAAACTATATAACTTTTCTTGATGTTGCTAATTTAAAAGTCTTTATGTGTGCTATGTTAGTTTTCTGTTGCTGTGAAAAATACCCTAGGAAGACAACTCAAAAGGAGGAAAGATACATTTTGGTCATAGTTTCAGAGGTTTCAGTCCATTATCACTTGGCCACATTGATTTGGGCATCTGGGGGAAAGGTGGGGAAGAGACTGCTTCCTGTCAGCTCCCAGTAGCTCAACACATGAGCTTTTGCAGGGCGTTTCAGATCTAAACCATACAGATGGATTCTTTCAGTCTGGACATTTGTATGATTTGGTTTTGGAAATTTTTCTTATATTTCTGCTGACTTTTGCCCTCTGTTTTTCTTGTTCTTAGTTTCTTGTCTATTCTTAACTTCTGATCTTTCTCCTGAATTTTTTCATGAAGGCTATTATGTTGATTTCCACAAGCCCTTGTATTTTGCAGAAGTTTCTTGTTTTGTGGAGGTAGTATCTTCTTTTAAATCTTTGGGTTATGTTACAGCCTTTTGAAATTTTCTTTTGTCTGTAAATATCTCTTTGTATTCAGAAATAATTCTCCCCAAAAAAGACAGACTCAATAAGCTAAATAGAAATAGTATGTTTAAGTAGAGCATATTTGTGAGCCACAGTTACTAATGAATTTTGTTAAAGAGTTTACAACATATTCCATGAGTCTTTGAATAGGTTTAAGCAGGAGTAGTGGAATGTTAAGATAAAGTTTATTTCCTAGGCAATCAGTTGAGAACGGATTGAACAGACCTAAAATTAGTTCAAGGACACTAGTTAGGAAACTTAAATTGATGTAAGTGAAAAACAGTGAGTAGGAAGACTAGAAAAAATAGCAGAGGTGATGGAGAAAGTTGATACATTTGAGAGAGATTCAGTGAACAGAATTTTATAAGATGATCCACCTATACCCAGTGTACCCTGACAGGGAGTGTGCATGAGTTGGGCAGTGAGGCCTAGAAGTAAGGAATTAGTGGGAAGAAAGAAGTAGTATCATGACCACAAGAAACATATCCATACATATGTGTATACACACACAAACACAGAAGTTTTTCTCCTGAGGTTCTCTTTTTCTCTTTGGCTCTCTTACCCTCAAGTAAAAATAGCACCATCCTAGGCCCGGTGTGTAGTGCCTGCCCGTAATTTCAGCACTTGGGTTGAGGGAAGATCCCTGCAAGTTTGAGGCCATCTTGGGGTATAGTGCGTTTCAGGCCAGCCTGAACTACACAGAAAGACACTGTCTCAAAAAAAAAAAAAAAAAAAAAAAAAAAAAAAAAA